CAGAGGGTAGGCCAGTGCATTTCCCTGACCTCCAGGTACAGGCTTGTGTACAACCCTTGTGTTGGCCATTGGCTGAGTTACTTCATATGCAAGGTACCTTTTTCAAATACCGTTTTATTTTTTTAATCGCTAAAACATTTGTATGAGAGTTAGCCTCTCACCTTGCTTTCTTGTTTGTGTCCCTTGTAAAGAGATACACAGGGCATGTGCAAACTCAACATTACGTGTCTCTGTTATGTAAAATACAAACTGTGTCTGCCTGTATTGATGTGCACATGTATCATTTTTGGCATCTTCTTGTATAGGGTTCCGTGAACCCAGGTTCCACTTTTTTCATCTCAGTCACAGAGTGCTCCCTAAACAGCACTGACTGCTGCTGCTTCTCTTCCTGTGGAGTGGCACCTTTGGGTTCCTGTGCACATCCTTAGGAAGCAGGCTGTTGGGCTCAGCTGAAGGCTGATTGCTAAATGTTTGTGTTGAGCAATCTGTTTGGTTGTACTTTCAAAATAAATAAATCTAGTACTTTCCAAGAGTAAAGGGAACACATCCACAGGAATGAAAACCAGATTTTTTTCAGAATGTTTTTTTTTTCTGCAGATGTGAATACAAATGCCTCAGCACTTGTATTCTCAGTTTGTCATATAGGGCAAAATCTATTTAATACTGTGCTTTGACTTCTGTGTGAATTACTTTGTTTCAGTTGAGTGAGGTTATTTTTCCCCTTTCATCTCCAGGTTATCTCTGGACTGAAGCTTACACGGTTATTTGCTTCAAACCAGATTCTACCGAGTGAATGTCTCAGTTGCCTTGTGGAGCTCCTTGAGGACACTAATATAAACCCATCTCTGACCTTGTCTGTGGTTACTTTGCTATCACAACTAGGTAAGGTTTGCATCTGAACTTTTTATCTTTTGTCTGGGCAAGGGAAGATAAGACAGGGGCTGATTCTGTGGTGGGGGTGATGGATTTCTTGGAAGAAGCTTTAGGTGTGAAAGATGAAGTGTTTTTCGTTTTGGTGGAGTGCTTGGCTGAGACATCTGTTAAGATGTTAAATCTCCATGAGAAGCAGATTTCAAGTCATCACTGTGAAATTACAGTGATTGTGCTTGTCAGAATTTGTTTCCTCACTGGGTAGGATGAGGAATTATTCTCTTGTCCTTTATTTTTGGAGCTTGAAGAGACTAACTTTTTAAAGAAGTGGGAGACCTACCTGGATGCAAGGACAGGGAGAAGCCACGTTACATCAACAACTGTCATCACCTCAGTTTACCTCTCCCACCAGAGTGTTGGCAGGGTGGCAGTTTGGGCTCTCCTATAGCTCTTGCCTGTGTGCCTCAAGTTTCCCAATTGCAAAATAGATTCTACTGCCCCTTACTTGTCTCTTGAGATGACTTTTTTGTTTG